TTCGAAAAGTAGCAACGATAGGACTGACCCTGCCAGGGGGACTGTGGGCAGTCTGGGGTAGGGGTGAGGGCATTCACTTAACCTGCGTGAAAAGCTGGAATGTTCGAGTTCACACTATCTCGCTCGAGAGAGCGCCAGGCGAGCAAAGCGCCGCGCCGCCGCGTGGTCCCCCCAACTAAGTTAGCACCCAGTCTTGTTTCCTCCATTCAATATTTGCTTTATTTGTAGAAGTTTGTTTCCTTCTTCGTCATCACATTCTTAAATGTGGTGACGCATAACAAAACTGTGACATGTGAACGATCCGATGCCATTGCACATTGTTTCCCGGGAGCGGTGGTGCTGTGATTGCAGACTGTTACGTCGGGGTGTGGTTCAGAAAGCGGCTTTCCACGTTTCGCAGCGCGAAACACTTCGCTGCGGAACCTCGGGTCCACTGATGATCAGAGGTGGACCTGAGGTTCCCGCAGCGAAAAATGTTTCGCACCAAAAAATTCGCTTTCTGTCCGGGCCGTATGCTGAATGTTGGGGAGGGGATGCGGTCCCCGACCCGCGATGCTGAATGTTGGGGAAAGGTTGGGGACCTCAACAGAGTTTCGTTGCCGGACCCACCGGTCATTAGCCACGTCGGTGGGCCGCTGGTGGTAGTTCGATAGTGACAGGACAGGAAGAAAATTTAATAATCGAACCGAATAACTGACAAATGCTGAGCGAACTGACTTGATAAATCATTGGTTTTACATGCCGCGGTCTAGGTGCGCAACTCAGATCAGCGTCCAATGATTTCGATAATCCGTAAATACCTAACACAGACTCAACAGCATGGACGTAGCATAGCATTGAGAAGTACATGTGAGGTATCTACTTTTGGAGGCTGTCACAATGTATACTACCCTACCGATTCTGCGGAGTAGCTGTTGCACCCCCTCGAACCGTCGATGTGAAAAAAAGCAAGCCGATATTGGGGAGTACCCGGCAGCAGCCGCCACGGCACGTGCCATGTTCGGGTTCACTCAGCGAGGAGGTGTGAACTCGCACATCCAGCTTTTCACGCATGTCAAAGGACTCGCCTCACCTCCCTGGCTCAGAGATTCCTCGCGTTGCACTAAAGGGAGTGCATCTAGGTCCGTGACAGCAATATTCCTTCTCCCAACGTGGGAAAGAAAGTGCAGATCAAGCTCAGGAAATTCGTCTGTTTTGTTCCAACTGGCATGCTTAATGGAAAAATGTAGGCTCAATGTGGCTCGGGAGGAGGAGGGGGAGGAGCAGTGCACATGACATAGTGGAAGCTTGAACATTTCAATTTTTCACGCATGCCAAGTGGCTGCCCT